CTTCACAAAATAAGTTTAACAGCTCACCAGCTTTAATTGACAGGATGACACTGAATGAACTGAATTGAAACCTTCAGAAACAGTACTTATTGAATAAATATTTATTTATAACTGTCTAACCTTTGAAGCCAATCCAGTTTAATATTTTTCTCTCTTCAAAACCTCTTGCAATAAGCATGAAATTGCATATAACAGTATATTCAACATTTGACCAAACTATTTACAGGTTTGTTACTGTATATATACATTCTCTCATGGAATACTACGTCTTTAATAATGTTTTTATGCTTCAAGTCTCAATGAGGCAAGAATTTTTTTAAACTGAAATGAAAAAAATCTAAATAAACAAAAGCTTCTACATTATGTAAATGTGTGATTGTAAACATTATTAAAGCAAAGACAGACATGAAAAATAATGAGCTTTATGAAGTGCATCTCACCGCCTCCATAGATCTGGCAAAGGTAGGGAAAACGCCACAAGTTTCCGAGACCCACAGCATAGCCGATACATGTCAGCAGGTACTGAACCTTGTTGTCCCATTTGGGTCTCTCCTCCTCACCAGAACGTTTCGTTTCTCGCATCTTGAACTGATAAAAAACACAATCTCTGCACAATCTGAGAGCTACTTTTACCCACAATCCTACATTCACTCAGACTGCAGTCAGTCTAGTTTAAATGATAAATATTTGTAATGTAGTCCAGAACATTCCAGTGTCTCCTCAGTGTTTGAGTAAATTCTCTCTCTGGTTTGGTCAAAGTGATGTCTTATGTTTGCCTCTCGCACCTCTCTATGACTCCACTGACAGAGCTGCAGATTGAGAATAGGAAGCTCAGATTTTATTGGTTTTATGAAGAAATCAAGTCAAATGGGTGTGGGAGGACCTGGCATACATATTTAGTGGTTAAACATCCCTCCATATTTGTAATGGGTGTGTTTTCAGGCTTAAATTAATGGATAATATGATGCTGCTAACCTACAGTAAGTTGTCAACTTTTTATCTGTTTAATTTATGCAGCAGGACAAGTTATAATTGTTAGGTGTGTTTGTGTTCAGCGAGCACCAGAGGTCACTATATACCAAAAGCTGGATGCACTTTTTGCTGGTACATTTTTTTTTATCTTAAAGTGATACCTAAATGATCTCTTGAGATTTATATTATTTTAGATTGCAGTTTTATTTCCTTTGCTGACTCACAGGTTAGAAAATATTGAATATAGTCAAAATAGCTTTATCAGTCATGCTTCCTTTCTTCTACAGCTCATTTTTTATGTCTGATATTGAATAAACAGCCAGCTTCATTAGCTGCTTTGGACCTTTTTGTCCCAAGTTTCCTTTTCCGCCCCCTTAGTTCATGCAGGTTAAATACATTTGTGCATTGTGTTGAATTAGCGGTGATCTGAGCCCTTCTGATAAGTCTAATGTTAATAATTAGATTTATACAGCTATTATTTAGAAATTCTTAATCCTAAATTAATACCATCCTTTGGAGGGGAAATCAAATCTTCTGAATTCACCTGCCAGCTCTTGATCTAATTTATGATAAAAAATACCTTTTCTAGATTATTACTGTGGTGGCACGATTTACCAAGAATGCAGAAACACGTAGGAATAAATGCACAGAAAGTCTGCGTGTATGGCCGTCAAAATGATTTCATTTGAGCAACAACAGAGCAGAAGTCAATCAGAGAAGTCTGTCAAGTTGTGGCTGGCGTGTCAGTGCAGAACAGCCGATAATATAACATCCTGTGACATGCTTACAACCAATCACAGTTCGCCAACTGTGAACCATCTAACCAATGACAGGGCTATCAGCCCGGAAACACCTTATTTAAATAAAAGAGGTCATGAATTTCTGGAGTCTTTAAGTCTGGTCCGATAGATTAAAACAGCCGAAACTAGTTATCATGAGATATGATTACTGGACAGTGTCAAGGTAGAACAGAAATACATAATTATTGCTAACAATCCCTCCTCTTGATTAAACAATACTCAAACCAAATCAAAAGGAATAATTATTAAACGTCTAAACACAAATGCAAAAATCAACAAGAAATACAATGTAAAAATGAGGGAAAAATAGTGCAAGTTATATTACGACCAAAAACATATACATTCAATCAATGTAAGATTCAACAGTAAAAAGGCATAAATGACAAATGACACATCATTACACATCAGAAGATTTGATGAAGAAAAAACATGTCGAAATTTAAAAAACTTAAAAGTCCAAAATTTAACAAGGTATCGCAAACACAAGTTCTGTCCCCCCTCCCCCAAATAAGATAGCATTAGCCGGGTATGTTCCATCAGAATCTTATCTTGGATAATGTGTTAACTTAATAACAACTAGTTGTCAATAAATGAACCTTAAGTAAAGCAAATTAAGACAAGGTCAATTAAACAAGATGCTGAAAGGCATTTACTTCTGGCTTGTGCAATGAAAAGAGAAAAAACAAAAAACAAAACATTAACAAAAATAACAAACAAAAGCTAAATCCAAAAGTCTAAATAAATTAAACTAAAAAAATAGCACCCCCTCCTCTTGTTACACCTAAGCTAAAACCTAAAGTAAGCTTAGATCTAGTTCTTCTGTGATGACATAGATGTTGTTAGACAGCAAATCTCAGCTCCCGGACCTCAAGAACAACCCCGACAGGTGAACTGACCCTCAAATATGTCTTAGTGGCGTACCAGGCTCGAGGTAGCAGAATACCCCCTCCCAAGCTTACCACAAATGCAGAAAGGAACAAACAAACAAAAATGTGACTGTCGTGGGAGGAGCCACCCTGAGACTCAGCTGACAATCACCTAAACTTTACCGGGAAGCTGCACAGAAGGACGAAACACTCTAGGAAATCATAAACCAATTAAACAAAACAAAATTAAAAAAAGAACTAAAAACCCAAACATCCAGAAGTGTCAAATTGTTTTAAAATTATGTTATGAGATGGGCCTCAGAAATGGACCAGGGGTAACCCTGATACCACCCAGGAGGGGGGAGCTAAATACCAACCCAGCTATCCAGGGCGTCAAAACAATCCCTGAGAAAAACCAGGAAAGTCCGAACATCCGAACATTGCACAGACATAATTGCATCTCAGGTAAAATAGTGAAACACTTAAAATACATAGTAATAAGCCAGTCAGAAGAACACAAATTTAGTCCAGTTTTTCAGATAGGGGCAGTTTATACTGAATTTTTCATGGTGGCGGAAAAAATGCAAACAGTGTGGTAAAAAGCACCCTTACCCAGCTAATTTAGCCTGGGTGTAAAACAACAGTCCTGTTCTCTTTATTTCATTAAGGCAGAAAGTGTGTGATCAGAAATCACACCAAAACACAGGGCCAGAGGTGTAGCGTTTTCGAACCTCGCACAGAGAGAGCAGCCACAACACGGCCTGCTCAAAGGTGGAACGTGATGCTGTGAGAGGGATGGGCCCCCCCAAAAAAGACCCCCCAGGAAACGCCCGTTGGAAAGGCTAACACAAGGTGGCAGACAGCTGGTTCCAGGTGGAAATGGAGAACCCCCGGTGAGAACAACATTTGCCCTGCGGAAAAACTTACACAAACACCCAGAGAGAAAAACAAAATTTAGAAAAAAAAAATTTCAAAAACACTTATTTCAGACAGTTCGTGTGTGAAAATGATGATGAATAAATTATACAGTTGTAGTTTAAAATAATATTACTCAAAAACACATCAGTCCTCCATCTCATCCTCATATATAAACAAAAATGCCCTTGTTCTTTGAACAAAGTCTAGGGGTACACCTGGTGTCATATTCTTTAAGCACACAGATTGCAATAGTCTCTGCTGCTTTATAGCAAAAGTTCATTCACCATTCATTTAGCAATGTAATACATTCGACTGGCCCCCCAGGTACTGTCTGTGAAACAGGTTTTTAGTTTTTCTATTATGTCATTGCCCACGTGAGCGTTGAAGTCCCCCAGCAGAACAAGGGAGCAGAACAAGGGAGTCCCCAGGGGGAGCACCCTCCARTACCCCCTCTAAGGACTCCAAGAAGGGTGGGTAATCTGAACTGTTGTT